CGTTTGCCACAGCAGCCGCGGGTCAACCCTGTAAGCGTCAGGTGCAAAGTGTCAACCACAAATGATCAGGTCCCTGACGTAAGTCGCTGGATGGCCGATTCGCTTCAGCCATGCAACGCGCTGGGCCCCACCGTGAGGCACCTGGTGCCGATGTCTCTCCGCTGCCCAGTCACTCGATTTGCTGTCGACGTTAGAGCAGCGCTTTTTATCCCTGTTGCTCACGCCAAGGGCGAAGTACATTCGTACGTGCGCACAGGCGCTGTAGTTGAGCAAGGAGTATACACGTGTACGCGACAACTACGAGGCTGGTTCTTTCACCACAGTGCCAAGAAACAAGGGGCAGTTTCATAGCTGTGGGTGGGAACAGGAAGTGACGTTGACTTCACTACTGTTTTTTCACACCTGATTTAGACCGATAAGCGAGCTGCTTCGGCGAGTTACGTCACATCGCCGATCGCCGAGTTGACGTCACTGCGCGAGCAAGGGGGTCGGTCAGGCGTAGGAAAGATGCGCGAAAATTGTTTTTTGAAATAGAGGCTCTGCACGGCGTGCAGCGCTGCAATATTCAGAAAACGTGATCGCTGCGGTCTAATCTACTAATTTCCGAGCTTGTATGGTGGGTGTAAAAAAAAATGTCGGAGCCTGTTTACTGGCCCTTTAAGGATCCCCCTATCTTGTACCTTCTGTTGTTATGCGGTGCCTCCAAGATCTAAACATTTTTTTAGCAAGGGCATTCGCATGCGATTACTTCACTTCACAAGACTGTTCCTTGTTCCTTCTAAAATTGGTTGCATCACTGCGGTATCGTCCGAAAGGACGATACCGCAGTGATGCAACCAATTTTAGCTCCGAGTGACGTCATGTGGTGACCTCACCGATTTATTTTTATTTTTCATCCCTCCGGTTGACGTGGTTGGCGCAGACGGTCATTGTTTGCGTTTAAGGAGCCATCTAAGGCTTTCGCCTTAAAATACGATATTCAACCGTATTGCACCTCTTATAGCAGGATCTGAAAGTATGACGGCAAACATGAGTAGACGATGAACATGAATGCCACGCTAACCGAACAATGCAAGCATCCCGGGATAATGTAAAAGCGGCTGTATTAATGAATAAAGCATCAGCAGCCAATGCCACACAAAATACGACAGAAGGTGGGCGGACAAGCTGATTGCTGCGGCAGCAATGTAAAGTCAGGTTCTACATGAATGCAATCCAGGTCCCGTAAAACTGCATGCACTAGATTTCGCATTATCAGGTGTAATCTCAGGGCAAATGCCTTCCCCAAAAAGAGGGAAGAAAATCTCTACACAAAAAAAGCAAGTAAGCTACGCATGAATTACGGCAAATAGGTCAGATGTATGCACTGAAACTTGGCCGCAATTTGGCGCTGCTGTGTGCCGGGCCGGGCACCATTTTCGAGGTTTTCTCGCAGCTAGACGACCCATGCTTATTGGTCTTTATTGACTTGCATATCTAGTATCAGCAGCAAGCGGCTGCACAAAGTTTTTAGTTGCATCGCATGGAGTGCCTGTGTGTCCTCCTTCCGCAATACATTCATGATGGCAATATTCGTCAACTGGAAGGAAAAAGAATAAAAAATTTGTTTGGAATCATACTGCACGAATTGATGGCGACACAAATCCTCAGTTCATTTATTATAACTGAAAATTCGACAGATCCATAATTATAGATCAATGTTCCACTGTAACAAGTGCTATCATAATCAAGGCCAACTGCTCCTTGGTCTTTGATTTTGAATGCACACAAACACAGTTTGCCCACTGAGACACTGGACATGTGCCTCAGTAAGTAGCATGTTTCAGTTTCTTGTTTCAAGTTTCGAAAAGGCAAACCACAGTTAGCACATTTTTTTGCAGGCAGCGAAAGTGTTTATTTTCTTCTCATACAAGGAACTTCGTACAAATGGCGCATGCATGCTGGAATCATGTGCTAATGTTATCACATATATGCTATGCGCTTGAACACTTTCTTGGCTCACACACTTCAGCAGCTGCTCAAGAGTAGAGTACTCTTTACCTTTGAGAGACACCCAGAAACAATCTGGACTCAAATTTGACATGCACATTGTCGGATGCTTTCCCACATAAATGAGTGCAATTAATGAACTGACTGCTGTACTCTTAGACTATGAGGAATTGACATTTTCACTGCATTATCCCTGATATTGCTGTTACCATAATGTTGCTTCAACAATATTGGCAACATTGTCGCAGCAAGTCAGTCCTAGGACAAATCTTATTTAAGTAACGTGACAACAACTGCGCTACTAGAATTCATGTTTTTTGTCTGAAGCGAAACAGTGCTGTGCCGTAACTTCACAGTGTCATATCAATGCAACAGGTAACTAACTGTGGATTGCATTAGGAGTGAGTATTGGAGCGAAAAGCAATTGAATCAAATAGGCATGTTGGTTGTTTTGGCTAGCCTTGACATTTATGTGCCTACTCTTGGCTCCAGAGGCACCATAATTGGATCATGGCTAGAATCGCCATAAATGGTGCAGTCACATTATTGCCAGAAACTCTATCAGGGCCTCTCTGAATAAAGGGTGGCCAGTAACATAAGAAAGATTATCGTATAATACAACACATACATTACTATAAATGAATTACATTAGTATGTTATGGAATGATATAACCCACAAAAAACAATTTTCTTAATGCAGCTTTTTACCCAAGAAAATGAACACTCTCAGTATAAAGGCAGTTACCAAATGCACACTACATGCATATTTTCACTTTGATTGTGCAGTGTTTTTCTTTGCCCATGCACACTGTACCACATATAATAAAGGATGACAAAATGTTGTTAACACATCACTGCCTTTACTAAAGTCATCATTACTGATAGAGTAGCCATGCAACATCGTCTGTATATAATTGTATGTCTATATGCCATTTCACTTCTTTTGTAACTGTGTTACAGGCTAGAGCCATATTTGCTGAGGAGATGTGAATGCATCTGGTACGTATTTTCATACACCATTGCCAGTGTAACTGACTTACACATACAGAATAATTAGTTTACTATCTATACATAAATATATATAAAATAAATAGACAAGCAGTTAGGCTAACACAGGAAGCTAAAAACGATCTCTTCTAAAATGTGCAAATGATTAGTTTACGACTGCAGTTGTTATGTTAATGCTACATTGTTTTAAAGCTTCAGTCCTGCTCAGCCGTCAATAAAAAAAATGAGCTACTTCATTATATAATAATTATATTAATACGTATACATAGAAATCTTCACTTGAGTTCAAGATGGCTAGAATGAAAACTCAGGCACGTGCAGCTGACTGAATTATGCATCAGATGCAAAACAATAGGAATAAAAGACCGCCAAACACTGCCTTTTACATTGCAAGAAGCTCTCCTGATGACTTCACGCATAACTTGAGCCTTTCAGTGACACAGGCACATAAGAACATCACCACTGCAAGCTACTAGATTTGTTCGTTTGAGACCTGTTGCAGTAATTAAAAGCTGGGTGCCATAGGCCACTGATTATCTTGACTCGCCGGGCCTCGCTGAAATGAACGAGACAGCGATTCTGCCAAACGTGTTTCGCACCGGTACGCAAGCAATGCAACAATGCCTGGCATGAGGCTAGAGGAATAGATACGAAATGCAGCAATATATAAAAATAGGTTGTGCGGCGGTATCAGTTCTAGGAGTGGGCTTGTTAAAAAGCTGCCCCTCACACGCTGGCTGACAGACAGTGACAAGCCGACAGCCAAAGAAACCTCTGAGATCTTGGCCATCAATAATCACAAGAAGACGAGATTCGGGAGAGCAAAAAGTTTGTAGAAAAAGCTGTGGCAATTAGAACACAATCATCCTTTCACACAATCACACACAATTTAGAACAGCTTAGAATCTACTCTGGTAACTGAAACTTGCACAGATTTTATCGAGCTGATGGCACACAGAACGTCTCGCAGCTGGCGATGCACATTTGCTACCGATATTTTCATCATGGTGCAAGCAGGTTCCAAAGGTGCTGCTATGATCATCCATGTTTCCGTAAAGGTTTTGCAGGTTGCAGCCCAAATAACACGGAACCCCTTCTACCCCCCCCCCCCCCCCCCCCACTTCCACACAGAAGTAGACGAACTGTAACGCCACTGGTGTTCACTGTATTCAAACACAACCAGCCGGGCTTGCCTGGCATTGTCTCTCCCCAGATGCCGATGCTCTCACAGCCGTATGTCCAGTGATACGGCAAGTCGCACAAGTGAACACAAACAATGCTATTTTGTATGGCCAGATTGAGCATTCTTAGTACAGCAAGTGGTCTTGGTTCCCGAATGCAGTATCCGTACCCACACTGCTGATGATGGTAGATTTTTACGGCACAAGGACATCACAAGACAAGAAGTTGCAAACAAAAGGTGAGCTGGTCAACTCGGTCATAAAGAGCTACTCAAGGTGACAACAGCAAGACCGTGGTTCATAAACCTCGAACTGTAGACAACGCTGCTAGCCATCCATTTCAAGAGTACCGGTTGCTCGCTAAAACATCACCGTGGTACCTTATTTTAATATACTACGCTGCCCCACAACACTAACACCGTTTTGTACTAGCCAAATGGCTTTGTACACCGTAATGGCCACGTCGTGCTATAGCACATTGTACAACAACAGCCCTGCCCGTTTGTTGTAGATTGTGGATTGACGGTTTGATTTTTGTAAAACCTAGCCGAAGTGATAACAATGCTGGAAACTGAAGTAACCGACCTGCATGTTTACACAAGGTGGCTTGCATTATGAGCAAATTTTTCTTCACAAGGGGTTCAACGTAAGAAAGATTTCTACTAGTTTGCCAGGGGACCACAAATGATGCCTGGTTACTCTAAAGAGCCTCTGCCACTAATGTACATAGTTTTTCATGCGAAAAAATGCCTCAGTTCCTCACTGTTATTGTTGCTTTAGGGCCACGGTGTATCAGCGAAAACTTACGCTGCTACATGCATATTTTTCTGCCTGGTATTGGCTCGAACAGTGCTTTCACTATATGGAAAACGAGTACGGCCAACACACTAACAAATCACAACTAAGATGACAACTAAGGGCAGTGATTCATATCGAAAGCAAAAGACATGATGCCAAGATAGAGGGGCCGGTAAATGTGCATGCCACTTCAAAAAATCCTCTACGAAACAGTTGCTGTGAGGAGAACATTTTTTGCTCTTACCTCTACAGAGTATGCATTGGACTGGCCAATCACTAAACTTGTAAAGCAGTAAGGTTTCTGCTAGACAACACCGCTGCTCATGCATCCACCATGGTTGTCTAGGTGCTTGTCTACAGAGACCTGAAAGATGTGGGATTCAATCCCGGCCGCAATGGCCACTTATTGACGGAGCTGAAAAGCTGGTGGCTTGCGTGCTTACTAGACAGTGGCGCGCATAAAAAAACGCAAGCAATCAAAATTTCCATAACCCTCTACCGTGGCATCTCTGATAACTCATCGTTTTTTCGGGATGTGAGCTGTCAACAATCATTATTACCACTTCAGATGAGAGTTACTCCAGCAATATCACACTGTGGGACCACAAGGGGAAGTGCACGGCTATCTTCGAACATGACTTGGCCAAGAAATGGCCGCATCTGTGCATACTATAATAAAGCTTCCTCAAAAATAGAACATTTATAAAAACAATCATTCTTCATCAGTACACTAGCTAACGCCTTTTTCACACAACTGAACATGTAACTAAAGTAAAGGTGTGATAGCAAGATGTTCCAATTTTTCTTTACTTCAATTGTTTATGTCAGTGTTTACATTTGATGTAAAGAAACAGACCAGTACGGGTGCTTGTAATTTAGAGAAAAATTAGTACTATTGAGCTTAATCACATGGAAAAAGCAGCAGCTTACAAGTGACGTTCGTCGACACTAGAATGCTGCAAGGAATGGAATGCTGTTTGATGGACGCCCCTGGTTTGATGGAGTGTCTTTTTAAAGGTACACTAAAATCAAATAACAATTTATGTGAGAGTGAAAGCTTGATGTATGACATTGTCTAAAACGACAATATCAACAGCAGTGCCCTACTTGCCGAGAAATTAGGGTAAATGCACGTGAAAACATGCGCTACGATAGCACGTTCTCAAAATGATCTCGATGACGTGGGACGAACCGTCTACGAATAATCACTAGTAATCGAACTAGCTGCACTAAATAAAGAACCTTCTGCGCATAAAGAGGCGTAATAAAATGCTGCTTGTTCGTTTCTGTTTGATTCATGGAAAAAAGAACCGCTGAACGTTATTATTGAAAAATGGCGCAAATGGTTTAAACATTCAATTTTTGCCTGATTAAACTGGACAAGTCGTGCCATCTAGCGGGGCTCAGTTAAACCAAAACACGTCTGCCATCTCGGAGTCAATGGCAGAAAATTGATCAATGGCGGTCGTTGCTGCTGCTGTGACTACGCTGCTTTCGTTCTGCTGCTAAATGTGTGGGGGGCCGCGCAGTAAAGACGGACAGCGTAGTCCATGACAATAGTGGCATGAGACGGTCCGGCGGGTAATTTAATGTGCGCTAACCCAATGCGGACCACTAAAACATGATGTTATATCAAAATAAGCAATTCCTTAGCACAAAAGTAACACTACGAGGTTTCTGGACAGCTATTTCAACAATCAACGTCGGCTTAATAGTTGCCTTTAGTGTCCTTTTAAAGGTGTCGTCTACATCCAAAATGACTTCTTTTCGGGCAGGTTGGTGCTTAAGTTGCGGAAATTGACTGTGGCACAAAATACATTCCGTCAAAAAGGGAGGAGCAAGAAAGAAGCAAGCGAAGCGTCCACACTTCGTCTACATCCCCTCTTACCCTTCCCAGCATTCCCATTCTTGTAGCACCACGCACTAGAGCTGCTTTCCTGTACGTGTAATCGCAAGAACTCTTGCTAAGGTATTCCACGAACAGCATCATGTTGTCTGCTCTTTCCATACATGCCTTATTATCCAATGCCACTGAACACTCAAGCTTGGACTACCTACACCAAACATTACCGTTGTTCTCTGACATAACACTGGGATGGGGGCAAGGGCAAGTCTCCAGATTTGAACAAAACAAATTAATATCACTCCACCGCAGCAGATTTTTTTCTTATAGCAGTCACTACGATACGAGCAGGCCCTACTGAGCAGCAACACATAGTGCGAACATTTTTGAGCACTTGGCAACAAGTCATGTGGCACATCTTGGCACGATCCTCGAGGTGAGGGATGGTTGACGAGAAAAGCAATGCACGCAGTTGCATTGGCACACAGGCCTGAACCTCTTTGGATACCTGGAGCTGCACTAGTACGTAGACTGTAGGGAGCAGTCTTGGCTAACACCGTAGCACATTGTTTGCCGTGGATTGTGCATGCCCATCAGTTTCGTAGGTAGCAGATAACACAGAGCATGGAAGGGGCGATGTCATGTTCTGAATGGCACACGGTCGTGAAACATGGCTCTTATGACTGCTGCTACTCATTGGAACCAGTTAAAAAATCTAGCGGGATGTTGTTGTCAGTATGACTAGTTGTAGAAGATGAGATCGCACGGGAAATCGCACTCGGTGTTGAATATGTCAGATGGCACGTGCGTCTTACAGAATCCCTCTCGCTTAACTTCACTTTGCAGCACGATGCAATTTGGCCACATGTGCAGTTTTCTCTTCAATGTCGAAATGTACGAGCACCAGCTAACAGGCAAGGCTCTTGCACGGGCCTTTGCCTTTTACAAGGGAAAGAAGGCAGTTGCACCACGTCCCTGACTGTTTGGCGATGCTCCTCACTTCCAGGTGGCTCTGCCACTGCGCGGTGAGGCAGTGACGGCGGCGCCACCTGTGCTCGTCGCAGAGGAGTCGGGCCTGTGTCGGGGCGTGGTGGACGGCGACCGTCAGGAGTCGGGGGTCGGCAGCAGGGGTCGTCGCGACGAGGCAGTGGACAGCGCGGGCGAGGAGGTCGCGGAGCACGGGTTCATGTTGAGCCGGCTCCGCGCACTTCCCACCACGAGGCTGCCGCCCGGAGAGGGTGCCACACTAGCACCTGTGGCACCTAGTGCGTTCATGTAGTCGGCTACCAGGAGAGTGACCTCTAGAACCTAACATGAGATGGTGCGAATCGGTGAACAGAAGTGAAATGCAATAATGTAGTACTTCAGAAGGATATTGATAATGCAAGCTTTGAATTCAAACCAAAAGGTGAACAACTACTTTATAGAATGAAAAAATTGGGCTAGTTGGCCATTGAGGCTCGTAGAGCAATGAAGAGACAAAAAAGAACCAAGAGAGGTAATTGCTTGTCCTGGTTTTTCTCTATCTTTGTTCATCATGCTTTTAGACACAATAAAAGGCTAAATAGTAAGATTTATACGGCACAGTGACAGAATGAGAAATTATTAGAGCAAACTGTTTATTACAAAAATAATACCCAGAAGACAGAAAATGGTCCTGTACTTTAAATACGGCAAGTGCTGGGCACCAACTAAAACATACCCTGGTTCACATAATGCACACCTCGAAGTCAATGCAGAAATAAGTTGTGCTTAGGGTGTCCCCAACAATGTGCATACAAAACTGAAAGGCTTTCTCTTAAGCTGCTACAGCAGAACTCAAATATATTGATACTGGAGGGGATAGTTTGATAGACTGGCTCTTATGTTTCAATGCTTGGTGGCCATCTCCCACAGTGCAAGTTTGCATTGCCGAAAGAACTTTTCAACGAAATCAACGAAATCAAGTTATTGAGCACAGGACCATACTGCACAATCCATCCATATTTTTAAATATTTGCCTCGCTAATTTTTTTCTGTGATGGGTAACATCTTTCAGACTATGAACATTTGCAACAACTTTCACAAAAACAAGGCGGCATCATTTGCACAATCAATTCAATGATGCTAGAAGCGATTGCGGTACTGTACCAGCATCAATATGCCAAAGGTGGCAGTGAACATTTTTATATGCATATAATAAAGCACAATGATTTAACATAGCATTTTCATAGGAGTGCTGGAAGGTTTTACCATGGACAAGACTTTGATACAACCAGGTCCGACTGTCTATTTTCTAAATTTATTTGACACATTGATTCTTATCAAAAAAAAGGGGCTTGTCTTATTTGTTATTCCTAATTACCAATGTTTCTGACATGTTCTTGATATCTTCTTTTAGAAAACAGTCAATAATTTGCACTTTTATAAAATCTAACTGGCACGTCCTACTATTTCTGGCCAGTGTTAGCACTGGTGTGTACTAGGAATGTTCGAATGTTCAAAATTTTGAATATTTTTCTAATGGTGTTTGCTAACAAAGTCGATTCGTACTGAAATTTCACTATTCGAACTATTCAGACTTCCCGAACTCAAATACCATCAATATCCAATTCACAGTGGCCTCTTGAAATTTTCTATACGTTTCTCCCCATCACAATATCATATTGCGAAAAAGCTGCCATTCATGCTCTGCTATAAGCTTGAGAAAACGCTGGTTCCCACATGAAGACGATAGATGTGGCAGAGGTGAGAGCTCAATTAATGCTTTTTTTGAGCCCCAAATATGGGCGGGAAGTCCGAAAAACTGAATGCCGAATATTTTTAGGATCCGCAATTTTAGATGTTCTTGATGAGTACAAGGCAGATTTGGAAGTCCGAGCTCGAAGGGACACCCTTGTCCACCTCATCAGTTGGGCACAGAAGTTGAAAGAAGTGAGCCTTTTGGTTGCACCAAATCATGTACATAAATACGATTCAGCCTCTGTGTGGCCTCATTGTTGATAAGTTCACTATTTAACACCACCCCGTCAAAGTTTCATTACCCTATCCATAAAAAACACTTACATGTAGCTATCTTATAAGACTATGCTTAGGAATCCTCTCCAACTTCTTTTTCTGTAACTTCGTTTTGAAGTATTACAAAGATATTCTAGAAATATTTGAGAAAAAATTCTATTCGATTCACACTTACACTACAATATTCAAATTCTTTTCGCGCCCAAAACTTCGCTATTCGCACAGCTCTAGTGCATACCCTTGAAAACAGTGCAAGTATTGTTTGTATTCCCTGTGCTGTGCTGTGCTGAGAGTACGCAGTAAAGTGCAGGCATGGCAAATGCTACATCACACAGCTGTTTGTGAAGGTGGGTGGTTTTAACTGTGCTAATGATATGTGGACCACTAAGACGTGATTTTCTTTCAAACTTCCATTAGCGGGAAAGAAGCACTACAAGGTTTCTGGAATGTCACTTCAACAATCAGTGCAGACTCTGTTGTGCCCTTGGTGCCCCTTCAAGGGCTGAAACAGCTCTTTCAGAATGGAAACGCGACAATACTATGTTCAAGTTCAGTTCTATCTCCCGTTCCATCGAAGACTGAAATTCATTACCTGGTTTATTCGTTCATGCCCATCACAGAGCTTTGTAGGCGAAGTCTATAACGAAAAAGTGTGAAATATGGTGATCTGTTTGCAAATGGTATTTGTTTGCTCCTTTTTTTTCCATGTTCTATTATTTTTGCCTTAATGCTCACACAACGTTATGTCACCTGTTTGCGTTATTCTCATTGTTTTTTATTATGTTTTTATATATCCTTGAATACCCACTCCTTCCATAGCGCTACTAGTGCTGCAATATCTTTAAATAAGTAAGCAATAGGTAAAGCTTTCTGCAACCTCACCTGTGCCTTGGGCATGGCAAAAGCAGACGCTCCGTGCAGGGCTCCCCGGCCTCCGGGCAGACGACGAGCATGAAGTCCTCCTGGCAGCCGCCAAATGTCATGACGCTCGAGTACGGATGTTGCACCCATGGTTGCTGCAAGTACACGAGCAACGACTGTCAGTGCTTCCCTTTCTGTGCTGCGCTGCAGTGATCTTCGCTCTCATAGCAGCCCTAATGGCATACAACCGCTGAAATGTTCTGCAAGCGTTCCTATAATTCTGTACGTTCTCCACAAGATCGTCACTCAAATTTAAGAAAAGTCATATGGAATCCACAAAAACTGCAAAATCGCGGGGAAATCATACGGACTTTTTGCAATGCATGCATATGGAATGTTCCAATGCAGATGTGTCGAAGCTCCATTTTGGTTACCAAGAAAGTTCACTAGGAAAGGTAGCAGTGTTCGATACGGTGATCTGCCCCGGTGAAGCTAAATAACTTGATTTATGCTTTACCCTAGCGAAATTGGCAACAGAGAAGTCTTACTGGTTCTATAAGAGCTGTTTTGATACCTTATAGGTCTTATTTGAACTCTACTCGCACGAATAAAAACCAATTGCCCACATCGATTTGTCACCAATAAGAACAACAAGGTGCCTATAGATTGTAGCTATTTGTCACTTATAGAACCAATGGACACGTATTGGCACCAGTAAGGTTCAGCAGGAGACACCTCTTTCTCCACTATAGGACCAATAAATATGTATTGATACCTATAGGCTTTAATAGGTGTCACTGTGAGACGTATTGCTGAAAACACGATAGTTCTCTTCGAGATGCCTATCACCAGCGGTAAGTTAGGTATAAATAGCTTGTCATTTAAATGTTCAAGTAGGTGCTCCTTCATGGCTCAGTGGCTAATGCCTAGCACTCAAGATTCAGAGGTCCCACATTCGATCTTGTGCGCCGGAGTCTTTTTCTGGATTATTTTTCTTTCTTGCGTTTTCATATATATAAATACGTATACATATACTATGAGTGACGACGACTCCCAAGTCGATGTCGACGGCAAAGTCCAGCTGGGAGTGTCCATATAATTGTTATCGCAATAAAAAAAAACAGCATTAAGAGTGACTTCTGACTGTGCATCTATTGTGGACTGCAACAACTAGTGAGAATATATCCATGATGAGGACGAAGAGAAGCTCTTAACAAACTAGACTTTGGAAAAATATGTACCCATCAATAACCTGGTCACCTGCGGCAAGACAAAAAAAAAAAGCAATGACAGCAGACTCGCAGTCGCAACCACAGTTTTTAGCAGAAATGACAGAAACAACCAAAACATGTTGACACATCAGACATGCAACACCACCGACACCAAAGAAAAGAGCAAAGCATTACATTTGCTGTTCAGTGCTTGTGAGCTCTAAACTGACTGTTTGACACTGAGTACAGTGTACTAAGCGTGTGTTACTTTGTAAGTCAAAAAAAAATTGTGAAAGATGACTTGTGCCACGTACATGCCAAAGCACACTGTGAAAATTTCCTCAGTTGCTTGTAATATCTTTTTTTTAGTTTGAAGTGCCATGCACAGTCATTATAGAAAAACAGCGACAAATAAAATTTGGTCCTATGTAATTTTTTAGAGCCCAAAACTCATAATCTGGAGGGCACAGAAAAACACTGCTGGTGCATTTTTTTCCCACACAGCAGATTTAATTGGCGTTCAAATAAGTTAAGGCTTATAGACTGCGAAATCCCAGACGAACGGGTCAGTGGATTAAAAAGGTTGAAAACTTGCTACAATCGAAATATAGTAATAATAGTAAGAATAATAACAATATTACAACACGGATGGTTTGACTAGTTCATTCACTCACCAGAGTTACACAGTCCAGCAAGCTGATACCGTCCTCAGACACAGCTAGCCACAGGCTCTGCTGTTCTTTGCTCTTCATCTGCAAGGACGCCATAAATAGAGATATCTTCTTACAACAAAGAGCATCTAAAACAAAACAAGCTTTGTTACATGCATTAGTACAGCTGTACTTCATTTTCATTCAAGGAAGTCACATTTGACACCCAAATAGCTCCATTAAATCTGGTATTATTAAAAATGCACATCTGTCAAACAGTTTGAGACCAGTGAGATATTATTTTGCAGTGAAACCTTGATATGAGGAACACGGAGATAAGGCTACAAAGAAGTAATTAAAGAGTAATTCTGCCATTATTAGAGCTGTATATGTACTCAAGCTTCTATATAACGAATTGGATATAACAAATTATCACTTATAACAAAGTGGCCAATAGCTTTCCCAAGATACAGTGTTACAAATAATCGTTTATAACAAATTTTCAGGTTTAACGAAATATTTTCATGGCAAATGTGACTTCATTTATAATGTGCTCTGAATATATGCATGTGTGAATGAATTCAGATATACCAAAGTGACTTTTGTGCCAGATGTGATTTTTACTAGGTCTGACTGCACTTTGTTGATTAAGATAATACGTTACAGTCACGTTTGTCACGTAAAAGTTAAATACACGCTACCATCAGTAGATCTTGCAAGCAGTTGCAGTGGCTCGAAAGATGTGATTTTCTGGGGCAAAATGACTCAACCATCGTCCTACCCAACCTTTGCCGGCTATATCATAACTCGTAGGGTGCTCCTGCCCTCAGCTCTTGACCTTTGCTGACTAAAGAGCGGTGCATTATTAATGACTGCAAAAAAGGAAACGAATGCTTGCAAAGTGAGATGGTTGAGCAATCACACTTCGGATGTTGAGCATAAAGTCGCACAATTAATTGCTGGCCATGGGAGCCAACTTTTGATGTAGGGGATGTATCCATGCCTGATGTGGGCAATAAGAGGATGTGCGCTGAAGGGGCCCTGCAACACTTTCTCAGGTTACTGTCGAATGGCTTTATAAAAGGAGCTTATCGGCCAGCATGTCAACTGCCGCAAAAGCTTTCAGGACTCATTAGGTACCAGTGAAGTCACAGGAATTTGTCACACGCTCCAGACGCTTTCTCCCTTCTTTCGTACCAGTGAGTGGGCTGAAAGCTACGCAGAAGAGAATGACAAATGGGCAAGAAGCTATGCCTATTTGTTAGCATGCGTGATGACCTTGAGCACTTGACTTTTCTTCTTCGAACGTGTGGTTTACTTTCAGTGTGCTTCATGCTAGGGCTGCGCTCCAAGGTATGAAAATCGAGAAACAACACACGGTGATGCGCAAACTAACAATTTACTTTATTTCGATCATGGACACTTTTATGTACAAGAAAAGAACATAAAAAGAGGGGGGATTCAGTGATAAAAACAAAATAACAAAATATATATCAGGGCATCAAATAATCTCACGAAAACGTGTCAAGAATTAAGTATGCGGTGATACGGTTTCCTTCAAAGAGATAATTTATTTCTGAGAGAGAGTGATCGAGGGAGTGCTAACGCACCCTTCAGTGATAGGCATGTAAAAAAGCTTGCGTAATTTCCCTCTCCGTCTGATTAAAGGATTGCGCCGAATCTTTTGTGCCAGGAAACACCTCTCTACACTTACATTCTGCGCAGTGGGAAGACAAATGGCAGGTATGTGTTAGCAGTGATACAGCATAATTATGCTCTTTCATTCTTTTGTTGGAGCACCTACCAGTCTGGCCTCCATACTTCCTATTGCAGGAGAGGGGGATGCCGTAACTGATGCTTTCTCAGCATTCAACGAATTCCGGTTGACTTAAGGCATGCACGCAGGTTTGTGGCAACGTCCCACGGTGGTCTCGAAAACACTGCAGGTCGTCATGCTCACATCACCCGATGGCCGTGGATTACGGGTCTATGGAGCTGTTACTGGGGTTTTCGACATCATATGTCGAGAGAAGAGGGAGCTATTTCTACCTGTTTCAAGAATTAAATGTAAATTCTCGGCTGCTCACTGTGCTATAACTTTTCGCTCACGTGTTCTCTGGAGCCTCGACTGCGGATTGGCAGCATTTTCTGGCTTTGCGGAAAAAGTGTTGCAGGGCCCTTTTGAGGCACTCTGGCAAAGTAGCACACGATAGCCGAAGAGGACGAGGCACCAACCTTAACCGCGTAAAGCCTGGCGCCGCACAAAGGCCACTTGCGAACGCAGTTGAGGTAGATGCGCACACAGTCCTGTGCGGGCCTGCCCCGGAGGGCTGCCCACCTCTCCCCGAGGCTGTCCTGTTGACTCCTGCATAGACCAAACGAGAATGGAATCGTCGAACTGAGCACTTCTTCACATTGTACAATAGAATCTGAGTGATACAAATTTTCAGTTTGCTACAAATTTGTAAAGTTCCCTGGCCGAATCTTAGTATGTCCAGTGGGCCGTAGTTTCAACGTGTTGACACTTTCCCGCATTCCGACGGGCGATACGAACTTTGATTCCAGAACTCTTGAACCAAAGCCACAAACAGCCTGCTATGAAAGATTCGAAAGTATGCATGGCATGTGCACACAGTCAGAACTGTGGCTACCGTCTCTCGTAACTACTGAAGACGAAGCTGCAGCTGCCACTGATGCGATCATCGACAGGAACTATGCAGCTCTGAAAGTTTATGGCTGATGCAGTGGTAGATTGAAAGCAGTGAAGTCGTAAAAAAGCATGAAATGTTCTGGCTTTCTTGTCATTTATTGACAACTATGGCAGAGCAGACTCTGGCACTTAGTCATCAGCTGTCCACAAATGAAGTTTTGGCGTGCCCGTTCGCGAAAGCCAGCTGGGCCATCCCTTATTGCTCGGTTCGTGTGTGTCACAGAAAGACAAATGCGAGTTTTTTAGACAGAGATAAATGTATTGGTGGACGTATCGTTGTCTGAAAATAGATTTTGGTAGTCTTTTCTGTGATCTGAACATTCTCGCTCCCCCTTGAGGTTTGTATCGCCGAGACTCTGCCGACTGACACACAACAGTCACAAATTCAGGAGCGGCTGCATCCCAATAAAGATCTAACGATGTAGGGGAATCAAAAGTGAATGGAGGAGTAGGCTACCGCCTATTTGACATTTAAACCACTCTCATGCCATGTAGACATTTCACACTTAACAGATATGCTCTGCAGGCACAACTGCCAGCGAGTGATCTAGCACTGAACTTGTCTGTTTGCAATTCCAAAACGTCACGAGGGGCTCTTCAAGGACTAAGGCCAAATCCGGTCCCCCATATCCTGCACATATGCATATCTGTTACAGGATCATACACCCACTTATTGTCTGGCAGCAGGAACTGCTGGGGCAGGAAACGTTCCAGGGCCTGCTGCAGCAGTTGGGGTCTGGACCGCACCCGCTCGCCCGAGTGGTCACCATACTCGATCTGCGTACCACGCAAGCACGAACACTGAACATAAAGCTGGCACATGATGTACAGTCAACAGAGCGGCACGTTCAGTAATTATTTTTGTTTGTCCAGTACTTTGGTGCTGACTGTTCCCATGCAAAAGAGAAAAAATGGCTGCAGCTGGGCTCAGCTATGACCAGTTAAGTAAGCAAAAGCTTGTTACACTTGGTTAGCTTGTTTACTTTCCTAGCCGCAGCACAGTTTGCAAACCGAACAAGATGGATAGCTGCACACTGCGTACTGCATGCACTCACAACAGCCGTTTTGACAGTTTCCGCCGTCACAGTCGATGCAAGAAACACCAGGCCCTTAAAGCACCAACACTGACGTTACTCTGATGACAGATGCATGCGCTCCTTGCGTTTTCACCTCAGATGCTGAGGAAGGGCATTTGGGTAGGTAGACAGACGAGCCAATGGACGCGTTGCAGTACGCTTGGGCACAAATTCAATACCACAACTAAATTTTGCGTGGCTTGTTTTACAGGACATCTGTTCTTCGCTTCAAGGCCGCATGGACATACACAGTGAAACTCGCTCAACTAGGCCAGTACAGCTCGCCCTTTAAAAGAATTTTCCTCAAATTGTCACACCCACACAATGCCTAAAAGACCGCTCTTGCTGTGACATTATACATATCTAGTCAACTAGAAAACAGGCAAAAACCAAATGCGAGTGCTTACACCGGCCTATAGTTCTCGTACTAATTTGCTGTCGTGATGTCACACATATTTACGATTTTAATGACAACCAACAGACAATGATAGCAAGTAATGTATAGGGGTTGTTATTATAAGTAAGTGTAGTGTAAATGCAAAGAAATAAAAGTGGACGAAAACACAGCTTGCTGCCGGCAGGGACTGAACCTGCGACCTGCGAATAACACGCCCTCTGCTCTACCAACTGAGATAAGGCTGCAGTCATCCCTCCAACCACTTTATAGAAAATATAAATGTATATATATATATATATACACAGTGAACTCCCGTTAAGGCGAACTCGTTTAAGACGAATTCTCGCTTATGCCGAACAACGTGAGAACGTTTGTTTGGTTTTCCATAGACCCAATGCAAAAAAAAAATCCGCTTAAGACGAACAGCCTTGCACCTGCTCTTCTGTTAAGACAAACACTTTCGCGGAGACTGGGAGACCGAGGCGGTTCTACAGAGGAATTATGGCAATCTGGGGGGGGCATTTCCACGGCCGGAGGGAAAGAAAATACAAAAGCAGCAACGGCGCGAAGCGAATTCGTGCCACAACAGAGGGAGGGAGGCAGCGACAAAGAAATGGCCCACGGCATCACCCGCACTTCGACCCGCAGAGCGAGCGGCAAAGCAAACAAGAAGAAAATGAGAGAGCGAGAGAGTTTTGAGATCGGCTATCGGCCGCGAAAAAGCAAGCAGGGGGAAAAGTAAAAAAACAGAATGACGACCGAGACTCCCTATTTGCGAAGAGAGCAACTCTCATGACCAATGCCGTTTTTCAGCGGGAACATGTGAGCTCGCGTCGTACAGCCACAGCTCTCTCCACGTGGATGTTCTCCCTCTCCGACCTCGCCGTCGCTGGCACCGCCATCGCCAAAGAAACGAGTTTTTTCTCTGCGCCGAGCCTGCGATCGCATGTTTTCTATTCCATGCGCTTTGTTTGCTTCGCTTGTCTCGTTGAAAACGGCCAGCAAGCAACTGTACAATGAAAGCCAATCGAGCTTTAAAGAAAACCAGAAATTTTGTCCGAAGTGAGAGCTGGCAAGCTCAAGAAGACCGAGATTGCACGCAAGTTCGGGATTGCGAAGAGCACGCTAACGGGGATCGTGAAGGATAGTGAGCGGGTAACCGCGGCATTGAGCGATGGAGACTTCGCGTTGAAGCGAAAGAAGGTGCGGATGGCTGCGCACAAGGGCTTAGAGGATGTTCTGCTCGCACGGATCCACAAGCTCGTAGCGTGAATCTGCCTGTGAACGGATTAGTTCTGAAGACAAAAGCGGAGGAAATTGCCCTACGAATGAACATCGAGTCTGCCTGCAGCGACCGATGGCTTGATCGCTTCAGAAAAAGACACGGACTTGTGTTCCGATCTATTGCCGGTGAGGCCGCCGCCGTTGACGAAGTGATCTACAACGATTGGACCTGCAACAGACCTGCAAGTGACCTGCAAGTGACCTGCAAGTGACCTGCAACAGACGTCCATTATGGACTGGATCAAGCCGAGCAAGAGCACTTGAACGCAGTTGCCTATCAGGTTACTCCCTCAAATAAATTATTTTGTGTCTTTTTCCCTAACTTTAAGTGTACTTGATACTTTGTTTTGAACTAAGATATTTGCATGCACCTAGGTATGTAGCCAATTCTTTTTTCGAGGGTACTTCTGATAAAACGAACAATTCTTCATGGTCCCTTCGAGTTCGTCTTAAAGGGGGAGTTCACTGTGTGTGTGTGTGTGTGTGTATATATATATATATATATATATATATATATATATATATATATATATATATATATATATATATATATATATATATATAGATGAATGTAGTGGGTCATGCAAATCTCGGCACACACACTGTCAGTGCTAAGCACGAGACGCTCGGCCCGGACTGTCGCTGATTTTGCTAGCTAGGCCTACGCTCCTACCTGGTCTCGGATAACAGTTTTGACTGTCTCCGTTCTATATTATAATTGGTGGAGTTTGTGGGGTCTCCTTGCAATCCTGGAGTTGCGAAGCCGGACTCTACCTGCTGTCATGACCACTGCATCTGCCACAAGCCCTCCTCCTATGGCTTCCCAGGCCATCGTGTGCTCCGGCGCGGTCCGTCAGCGGGATCCTCCCATATTCAGCGGCACTGACGACCACGACGTCGACGACTGGCTGGCTACTTGCGAACTCGTGAGTGTCTTGAACAAATGGGACGAAGCCATGAGACTGGCCACTGTCGGCATTTACCTCAGTGGCATTGCCCACTTATGGCTTTGGAACCATGAGACCGACGTTCCCAGCTGGACAGCATTCAAAGCAAAGTTCAGCGAAGTCTTTGGTCGTCCTTCTGTCCGCAAACTTCGTGCGGAGCAGCGCCTTCAGTCGAGATCTCAACTGCCTGGTGAGAACTTTACAAGTTACATAGAAGACGTCATTGACTTGTGCAAACGCGTCGATGTGAGCATGACAGAGGTGGACCGCATCAAGCATATTTTTAAGGGTATTGACGAGGACGCTTTCCAGATGCTCATTTCAAAAAGCCCTGCTACTGTCGCTCAAGTTACCGAGCTCTGCCAAAGCTATGATGAGCTCCGCCGGCAACGTCTCGTCACCCGCCGTGCTGTCCCACATCAGGAATCGATGTCCGGCTTAACTCCCTCGCAAGACCCCGTCCTCCTCTCGCAGATCAAAGATTTCGTGCGCGAAGAAGTTGCCCGCCAACTCTAGCTCATCTCTGGCCTACCGGAGCGCAGTGCACCGCTTAGCCCTACTCTACGGACTATTATACGAGATCAAGTGTCTGAGGTCCTTCCTCCGCAGCTGGTGCCACCAGTCAATGCACCATTGACATACGCCGAAGCAGCAGCACGACCACGACCACAGACGTTCCAAGCGCCGCCTCCACAGCCTGCTCCTGTTTATGCCGCCCAGCCGCCACGACCTCCAGTTCGCCGAGTCCCTAATCCATGGCGCACTGCCGACAACCGACCGATCTGCTTTTCGTGTGGTCTACCTGGGCACGTCGCACGTCTGTGCCGCCGCCGCCCACTCCACTCACGTGAAAACCTACGTCCATATGAGAACGATTACACGTACACTCAATACACCCCTGACCCGAATTGTACGCTCCTCGTCCAAGCCACCGACCAGCTCCTGATCGCCGATCTCCTTCTCCACGTCGACGCTCGCCCTCCCCGATGCGCTGACGCCCCCCTACAATCGACGCCCCCCTAAAACTAAATTATGCAGTTCCCGAGGCAAGAACTGCGTCCTCGTCGCAAAGCACAAGCCCTCTTCGTTCGCCGCCGAGTGTAATTAATGCCGTTCTTGAAGGTGTACCCGTACTTGCCCTTATTGATACTGGTGCCGCAATTTCTGTCATCGCCGAAAAAGTTTGCCGTTCAATTCAAAAAGTGACAACGCCTTACTTGGGTTCATGTCTTCATACTGCCACTGCACAGCCTGTGCAGCCTGTGGCCGCGTGTACTGCCAGACTTGTAATTCAAGGAGTGCCCTACACAGTGCAGTTCGTAGTACTCCCGCACTGTTCTCATGACATCATTTTAGGTTGGGATTTTCTCTCCCATCACCAAGCCGTCATTGATTGCGCCCGTGCCGAAGTCGCCTTTTGTCCTCCCCTTGGTGATGCGCTACCAGTGCACGATCGCCCTTCCGACGCGAAGTTGGTCATTAGTGACGACACCCAAATCCCTCCACGCGCTACTGTCTTCGCACCTGTGTCGTGTTCCACCGTCGTCGACGCTACCGCATTCTTCACGCCTTCCGCTGCTTTTGTTCATCGCCACCTATCACCGCTCCCAACCGCTCTCGTTACTCTTCAAGGTGGTGCGACCAACGTGCCTGTGGAGAATTCGTTCCCATTCACGATTACGCTACTTCAAGGCGAATGTATTGGTTCGATAGAATCATTCGAAACCATCGCTACACTTGACGTTCCTGATGAATCATCGGAAGTCAGCGCCCTCTCCTGTAGTTCCGTGAATGACCCTTCCACTACTGACATTTTCAACCGTGTCATCGACGAAGGCCTAAACCCAAAACAGAGGTGTGAGCTTTTGAGCCTCCTTGACAAGTTTCGACTATCTCTTGACAGTCACAGCGCTACTTTAGGTCGCACATCTACCGTATGCCACCAGATCGACACAGGCAATCACCCACCACTACGGCAGCGACCATACCGTGTTTCGCCAACTGAACGCCGTATAATCGATGAACAAGCAGGTGACATGCTAAAGCGAGGCGTCGTTCAACTGTCAAACAGTC